CCCGTATAGCTTTAACAGACTGTAGGGGCAAGTGCTGTTATAGCGAGTAGTACCCAATAAAGGGCGGAACGGCACACGAGTGAGTGGGTGGGTGGCCCGAACCACGCCCGGCCTCATTTGTCTCCCCGGTGGCGATGTTTTTGCGCATCGCAACAGGTATTCTCATTTCAGGTTGAGTCGACCTAGGGGGCGGCCCAGGACCGGTTCAAAAAATCGCCAACGTCGTTGGCAGGCGCTGCGCGCTAACCGCTACACCACCTCGACACCACCACCACCACCACCGCCACATCCACCACCACCGCCACATCCACCACCACCACCATCACCGCCAGCAGCACCACCACCACCACGACTCACGCGGCCCGGGTTTCCCCACGAAGATCCGGAGCCTTGACGCAATCTCACTGCTGCCCTCCCTTTCAGAGATAATTGCAATAAATTATTTGGTTCACAGTAAAAAAAATTGTTATGAAAGGTGTGCGGGGGGGGGGAGGTCAAACAAAAAAAAAACGAGATAGCTGTGGGTTTTAATGTACATGAAGCGGCCGGCGTTGGTGTATTATGATACCGTGTCGATCGTTGTGTGAGCTTGACTGTCATTGGTTGCATGTTAGTGTGTATGTGTGTGTGATTGCCTGTGTGTGTCTCAACGTGTGTGTGTGTGCATGTGTGGGGAGCGGTAGTGTAGCGGTTAACGCGCTGCGCTATGAACCTGGCGACCCGGGTTCGATTCCCGCTCACGGTCAACACTATTGACGATTATCTGAACCGGTCCTGGGCCTCCCCGAGGTCGACCCAGCCTCAAATGAGTACCTGGTGCGGTGTGTAAACATCGCCACTCGGGAGACAAAGGCGGCCGGGCGTGTTACTGGCCACCCTCCCCGTCGTGTACCGTTCGGGCCTTCATAGGGGCTCACTAACAGCACTTGCCCCTACAGTCTGTTAAGGCTATACGGGGGATCGTTGTCTTTGGCTACACGTGGCTACACGTGGCTGGATGTGTATACATACAAATACCTTTGTGTACACATACAGAGACGCCGGTGTGTGGAGCGGTCGTGCGCTACGAACACCGGGCATCCCGAGTTCAATTCCAGCTCACCAATAACAGTTGCAAATATTTTCACCGGTTCTGGGCCTCCCCTAAGTCAGCTCAGACGTAAATGTTTATACACCGAACCTGCTGTGATGTGTAAACATGAGCACTTGGGAGACAAAGGCGGCCGCGCGTGGTGTTGGCCACCTGAATCCCTGCTAGCTAACAGCACTGATGTGTGCATTTGTGTGTGTCTATATGTGTATGTAAGTATGTAGGAGGAGCAGTAGTGCAGCGGGTTAGTGCGCTGCGCTACGAACCTGGCGACTCGAGTTCGATTCCCGCTCACGGCGAACACGAGTGACGATTATCTGAACCGGTCCTGGGCCTCGCCGAGGTTGACTCAGCCTCAAATGAGTACCTGGTGCGATGTGTAAATATCACCGCTAGGGAGACAAAGGCGGACGGGCGTGGTGTTGGCCACCCACCCCCTCGTGTGCCGTGCCGGCCTTTATAGGTGCTCGCTAACAGCACTTGCCCCTACAGTCTGTTAAGGCTATACAGGGGATCTTTGTCTTTGTATGTACCTGTGTGTTCTTCTCTGTTTTGTATGCATGTACTTTGTGTGCATTTTTGTACGTGGCTGTCATCGTGTTGTACGTGCGTAGATATGTGCATTTTCATATCTCGCTATGTCCATGTGCGTCTTTGTATATACGTGTTTTTGAGTATATTATGTAACTGTATGTGTATATCTCTGTGTCTGTGTGTGCATTTGCGTGTATGTATTCGTTGAGAGTTGGGGAATGTTGCGTCTGTGAGGACAGTGTTGGCTATGCATGTATTTCGGAGAGTCTGTGTATGTCCTGGTGTCTATAAGGTGTGTGTCTGTGCGTCCGTGGGAGTGTCGGTGCACGTGTTCCCCCAGTCTCTCTCTATACGTGTGTACGCGACTTTGTGAATGCATGTCTCTTTGTCTATCTGCGTGTCTGTGTGCCTTTGTGTGTCTGTGTCGTCAGCGCCACGAACCCAGCGAACCGAGTTCGATTCCCGTTCACGGCCACCGACACCAGTGACGATTATCCGAACCAGTCCTGGGCCTCACCTAGGTCGACTCAGCCTTAAACGAGTACCTGTTTGGATGTGTAAATATCGCCAGTCGGGAGACAAAAGCGCCTGGGATTGGTTCTGACCACACTATAGCTGCGGTTGTGTACGTGTGTGTTTGGTGGTGGTACTGGCTGACTGACAGCACTTGCCCCAAGAGTCTGTTGAGGCTATACGGGGCGGAGGGGGGGTCTTTGTCTTTGTGTACAGTTTCCCTCCACTCCGTCCTAACACATAACTCCCGTAACAAATCCCTCGGACATTTGGACAGATTACATTATTGCGCCTCGCGGTTTCGAGCCAAATAATTAAAGATGTTGGGGTTTTTTTTCCTAAACACTGCCACGCTGATTAACGCGTCTCTTCGTAACCCCGGCGTCTGCAATCGCGTGGCCTTAAGCATTGCGGGCACCGTGCTATGATGGATGAATTAAAACAACACCCAATATGGCTCCGCGTCATTACATCTTAGCAGAGTACCGACCGCCAGGGCCGGCCTCTGTCGACGCCGTGTCTCCGGGTCACGATCCTTAGGAGGAATCGGTTTCTGCCTTCAATGTATAGTACAACCCCCCAACCCCCCATTGCAAACTTGCATTTAACACAAACGTGCACGCGCGCACGCATGTGCACACATGCACGCGCACACGCGCGTCACGGATGCCACATGACCGGTTGCTCGCCCCATCGGTAAAGCGTCCCACGACGGTCACGTGCCTTCGGTAACGCTTTCCTTGTGCGATAAACGACAACAACAACAACAACAGCAGCAAACAAAACTCAATGCACTCATTCGATCGACAACACTGCCTTGGAAATTAAAAGAATATATATAATCGGCGACGTTTCTGGCACCGGCCCTTCTTCATAGCATGTGATAGACAGCGTCTTGTAATGCACGAGTCGACCCTGTGTGCATTGTCCGTGCATGTGCGTGTTATGGCGCGCTATAACAATGCTATTAATTATAATGACGCTATTAATTATAATTAGCTAATAACGAGAGCGCTGAATTTCGAATCGCTTCTACCTCGCGCCGCGAAGGGCGCTCCGATTCTAGACACTGCCACCAGATCGCTGATGGATCAATGTCAAACACGTGACATCGTGCACGCAACAGAGCTCGCAACCGCAAATTGTCCCATAGGCTGTCGCCGAGCGGACGGACAACGGCGGGCCGACGTTTCGGCCCGCCTGACCCGCTTCGGTAAATAGTGAGACTCAAACCGGAGCAAGAGCCTCGGGACGTAGTCTTGCTCGGTGATGTTGGTTGTTCGGCTTGGTTTTGTCGAAGGCCATCGACTCAACTATCACCAAACTGTTGTCTGTACTTTTGCCGCGCGCGCGCACAAACACCCCTCTGCAGCACAACGCAGCACAACAAGCAGCATCGATGCCCTCCACTGTCACCGTGACACATCGGGCTGCCCCTGCCCCATTATCCATCTGCCCGTAGCAGTATACAGCTGCAGGAAAAAACGTGGTCGCGCCGTACCCGACACTTAAGTGAGCCTCACGGCCATTGCGCCCGCCAGCAAGGGCGCTGTAGCGTGTCAGGTAACGTACCCGTTCCTTGCAAATCGGCAGCCGTGGTGGTACCCGGTTTGTGAGGGCAGGTCTTGCCAGTGAAGGCCTGACTCATGGACTTGTGTCTGGTTGCTGCTGCTGTAACCACGCTGGCAGGGGAGGGGGGCCCGTGTCGGTCCTTCCTTGTGCATTCCGGGTACGCACGGCGTTGGAGATGGAGTAGATCTTTTTTTTTGGGGGGGGGGGGGGCGGGGAGGATTGGGCGATGTACGAGGAGTTGTAGTAGACATCGTAAGCGAGAAGATATACGAGACTCGGGTTAGTCACACGGGTTTACTATAATTATCCACTAATTAGGGGAGCGGTGGTGAAGCGCGCTCGCTCACTGCAACGTAATGGAAGTCGTTTGAGTACAAAAACGTACGGAAAAAAAATCCAAAATTATTTTTCTTTGGGGGGGGGGGGGGGTAAAATTCATATAAAATGCGTAGCAGACACCGCCGTGTCAATGAGTATATCGTCACGTTCTGGAGGGTCACTTCCGCCGCGTTCCATTCGCCCGTGTAATAATGTGCAGCTTTGTCAGCCTTAAATTCCCTATCCATGCCGTACATTTAGACGCGAGCTCGTATAGAGCACTTCGAGTTGCCCTGTCTGCACGTAGCCACTCCATCTGTAGACACAAATGTGCTCGGGCTCTCTTCAGATGCCCAGGTGCCTGTGTACAGGCAGGGTTCCGGGAGGAAAACAGCAAGATTAATTGCGCAAGCAAATAGTCCCTGCGAACGCGGCCGTATTAAAAGCGCCGAGCATCGCCGACGTCGCCGCTTATAACGCACCTCTCTTGTTTGACGTGGCACACACACCAATGCGTGCCAAAAGATCCCGTGCTTTAATTAATTGCTGGACATGCCAACCCAATCACGACCCGCGCGGAGTGATTTATTCCCGCCGCCGCCGCTCGTTATAATAACCACGTGAGCGAGCCCCGACGCGTTGGGTCTCTCCAAAGAGGGCTCGCCGCACGCTGACCCGCAGATCACACGCGCGCCGCCGCCGCCGCCGACGCAGCCGTGGAAAGATCCGAAAAATTAAGACGGAAAAGGAGCGCCCGACCCCACGCACGCACTCACGCACAAACGCGTGCGCACGAGGGCACGCGCACGCACGCGCGCGCGCACGAGGGCAGTAGCAGCGGCTGCGGCTGCGGCGCACTCGACGTTACGCACGCGGTCGAGACGGCAGCAGACGCGCCGAGGGCTCGAGGCACGACACAGCGAGGTGGGTGGGTGGGTTGTGGGTGGTGTTGGGTGGGGTGGGGGGGGTTGTTCGGCCAGCACGAGCCAGCGACGGCGGCGCGGCGCGCGCAGCCGCCTTATTTATTCCGATGTCGAGCTCGGGAGCGCTCAGCACCTACTACGTGCACTCGCTCATCAGCGGCGATGCGGACGGGATGATGAGCGCGGCCGCCGCGGCTGCGGCAGCGGCGGCGGCCGCGCGGTACCCGGGCGGAGCGCACCACCACCCGCAGGCGGCGCGGCCCGCGGCGCCCGTGCAACTGCCCGAACACCCCGACTTCCCGTCGTGCAGCTTCCAGCCCAAGGGCTCCGTGTTCGCCTCGCCGTCCGCCTGGGCGCCCATCCCGACGCAGCCGCCGCCCGGCGGGGTCTTCCACCCGCACGCGGCCTACGTGGGGCAGTCGCACCTCGCTGACGAGGGCAGCCGCTACGTGCGCTCTTGGTTGGAGCCCGTTGGATTTTCGGGATTCGGTGGCGGCGGCGGCGGCGGCGGTGGTGGTGGTGGGGCCAGGCCCTATGACTACAAGCCGGAGCCTCTGCAGCAGCAGCAACAGCAGCAGCAGGCGGTGAAGCGACGCGACGTGACGGCGGGAGTGGTGGCCTACGAGACGTCTCCAGGAGCCACCGTGGCCCCCTTGCTCGGCGGGGACTTCCCGCTGGAGGCGCCGAGCGAGGGCCGCGAGAAGTTGGCCGACGTGTCCCCGTACCCGTGCACGGACGACGCGGACGTGAACTCGGAGAAGAGCGACGACAAGCCGGCCATCGACCCGAGTGAGCGCGCGCGCCGCGTACACGAAGTCACACACGACCCATGCACACCGCGCACACACACGACCCACACACACCGTGCACACACATACCGTGTACACACACGACCCACACACACCGTGTACACACATACCGTGTACACACACGACCCACACACACCGTGCACACACATACCGTGTACACACACGACCCACACACACCGTGCACACACATACCGTGTACACACACGACCCACACACACCGTGTACACACACACCGTGTACACACACGACCCACACACACCGTGCACACACACACCGTGTACACACGACCCACACACACCGTGCTCACACACGACCCACACACACCGTGCACACACACCGTGTACACAGACGACCCACACACACCGCGTACACACACGATCCACACACACCGTGCACACACACGACCCACACACACCGTGCTCACACACGACCCACACACACCGTGTACACACACAGTGTACACACACGACCCACACACACCGTGTACACACACCGTGCACACACACCGTGCACACACACGACCCACACACACAGTGTACACACACGACCCACACACACCGTGCACACACACGACCCACACACACCGTGTACACACACGACCCATGCACACAGTGTACACACACCGTGCACACACACCGTGTACACACACGACCCACACACCGTGTACACACACCGTGCACACACACGACCCACACACACCGTGCACACACACGACTCACACACACCGTGTACACACACGACCCACACACACCGTGTACACACACGATCCACACACACCGTGCACACACACGACCCACACACACCGTGTACACACACGACCCACACACACCGTGTACACACACGACCCACACACACCGTGTACACACAGAGTGCACACACACGACCCACACACACAGTGCACACACACGACCCACACACACCGTGTACACACACGACCCACACACACAGTGCACACACACGACCCACACACACCGTGCACACACACGACCCACACACACCGTGTACACACACGACCCACACACACCGTGTACACACACGACCCACACACACCGTGTACACACAGAGTGCACACACACGACCCACACACACAGTGCACACACAAGACCCACACACACCGTGCACACACACGACCCACACACACCGTGTACACACACGACCCATGCACATAGTGCACACGTGTACACGCGTACTCCTACTTCCCATGCCGTGTACACATGTACATATATTTCTATGTACGTGCACATAGTTGCAATCACACTGTGTACACACATACACACATGTTCAATGCACACCGTGTACACAAGTAACGTGCAGTGTGTGTGTACATATATCGTCTGTGTGTACGCATACCGTGTGTACACCCACGTATTATACACACACTCACATACGTGGTGGTGTGTGCAGACGTGCACACTCACATTCCTGTGTGTGTGTCATACCTTCCTTTACACACATCCTAGACACGCGCGCGAATATACTGTGTAGTGTATCACACTCCGTGCACATACACACACGCGGCCATTTCTTACACACACACCACTTACGCACACCCCCCCTCCCCACGTACGCACACAAACACAACCATGCACACCTATACACACGTACAACACACACCCCGCGTATGTACGCCCACCCCTACTATCTCCAAGTACGCACTCTCACAAACACCCCCACGTACGCACACTCCCCCCCCCACGTATACACACATACACAACCATGCACACCTATACACACACACAACACCCCGCGTACGTACGCCCACCCCTACTACCCCCACCTACGCACTCTCACACACACACCCCCACGTAGCACACCCCCCCGACGTACGCACACACACACAACCATGCACACCTATACACACGTACAACACACACCCCGTGAACACCCCCCCCCTCTCCTACGGGACCTCCCCGTCATTGCATCCACGCCCCGTGCGTGTAGTCGTCAGATTTGCTGTTTGCTGTTTGTTGTGTAGCCCCAGTCTGTTGTTGTTGTTTACAACGGTCGTGTCATCGACAGCAAGCTGTGCGCTTGGTGTACCTTTCAGTCTTAAATGAAACCTCCCCTTCTCTTCCCACCATAAAGTGATTGAATAGCTAGGCCAGGGGGGGTTTTGTGTGTGTGTGTGTTCCTCCCCCCCCACCTTCAATAATGTTTTTATAGGCGCGTTAATTGAGATAACTTCGCGCGCCCCTGGTAGTGGCTTCATTGACGAGCTGACAGCTTTACGCATGCAGCAAGCCTTTAAACATTTCGCTATAAAGTACGGGACAATATTCAACGCTCCGTTACTAATAGCCTAATAATAGTAACAACAAATATCACCCTTGATGATAATAATACTAATAATAAATTACGTATCGCCATGTTTATTATATTTTTCCACACGATGTCACACTTTTAAGAGGATGTCGCATAATCCCAAGAGATACATCCCCGACGTAAAAAAAAAAGATTTCCGTTACTTTTACATCGTGGATATTATCCATTAAATGCCGCTTTAACTTGCACACTGCTCCATTAAAAAAAAACCTCACGAGTTCACATCGCCGCTTCCTAATCGCATTGTGTCGTAACGTGCGAGTTGTATATATGACACGGGGAGTGTCTGATTACGCGCTGTAAAAGGCTACGGCTTGCTTCTCTGTGAGGAGTGTGAGCCCACGTGGCTTGCCCGCACGGCAGCTTGTTATTGCGCGCGTGGTGTGTCCCAATGATTCAGCTACAGACACCAACCGGGGCCAGTCGAACAAAGGTGATAGGCAAAGAGTCCGCTGTCCCCCCCCACCACCACCACCATGCCCTCCCCTCCTTTGAAGTGACGCTGTTGTTATTGTTGTTGTCTCCTGCTCGTAAACAAGACAAAGATCCCCCGTGTAGCCTTAACAGCCTTTTGGGGGCAAGTGCTTTCAGCGAGTAGCACCTCTGGAGGCCGGCAACAGCACACGAGGAAGTGGTTGGGTCCCAGCACCACGCCCGGCCGCCTTTGTCTCGCGAGTGGCGATGTTTTACTACGCACCGCGCCAGGTACTCGTTTGAGGCCGAGTTGACCTCGGGGAGGGGGCCCAGGACCGGTTCAGATCATTATCGTCACCTTGGTGTTGGTGGCCGTGAGCGGGAATCGAACTCGGCGAGGCTCGCGTGGGTAGGTCGGGTTACCGGGCTCATCCCGATGCACTGCCGCTAGTAAACAACGCAGCCGTGAACCCATGCACAGACACACGTATAGAGAGAATATGATGAATTGTAGACTGCGATAATAATAATAATAATAGGAAACAAAGCGGTTCGCTGCAGACAAAGCGCCGAACGCAGCGTGGATGGCAGCCGAGGCCTGTGGTGTGGCTCCGGTGACGTGAGTCGGGGTACGCGCACATTGCTCACAGCACGGCACACACAGACACACATACGGCTGGCGCGTCGCGTTAGACAATTCACAGCTTCACCCACGACGTTAAGCCCGTATACATCTTCGTTTTCGTCGTCTGTGTATTGCGTTGCGTTTGAACAACAACAACAAGAAAACCAAAAATATAAATTCGAACACAGGAGGAGCCCATTGTTATTGTGTCGGCCACACACACGGGCACAGCGTCATCGCGCGTTATTCGCGTTTGAGATGGCGCTCGCAAAAAAGGATGCATGTGAGAACGTGCGTTTTGCGATTTCTCTCGCTCACAAGCGAAACAAAAACAGGCGAGGTCGTATACAACAACAACAACAACAACAAAATGTGTACAACAACAACGACGAACAACAACAGCAGCTAACCGTGCAGCGGTTAGCTGTTTGTGACAAGCGGCGTGCTGTCGATGGCGGGGAGAGACGAAAGGGAGAAGCCGCAGTCGCGCCTGTACACTCGGAGACAGACAAAGAACACGGAGAATCACACACGCGCACACACGAGAGTGCTCTGAATGATACGGCGTGAATTGTAATCGCAGTTCCCTTCGCAAGGGCTCTCGCCCTGAGATCTACTAAATCTCGACGAAACGCGGTGGCGCGTCATATTTTTGTTTAATTTATGTTCGCTCACAGTATCGTGCGTGTACCTGTTTGTACACGTGCACAGAATCGCATCGTGTCAATCCGCTGCTGGATGAAGGCTCTCGCCACGCTCGTTTGCGGGTTGTGAGGGTTGGGGGAGGGGTGGAGAATGGGGGGGAGGTTATTTAACCATACTTCACCACGCCGATCAATGCGGATTATTGGCGTAGTCCACTCGCCGTTAGACAAGAGCGTGCGCCTACAGCGGGGGAGCGGTGGTGCAGCTGTTAGCGCGCTGCGCAACGAACCCGGCGAGCCGAGTTCGAATGCCGCTCACAGCAAACACCAGTAACGATTATCTGAACCCGTGCTGGGCCTCCCCTAGGTCGGCTCGACCTCAAATGCGTGTGCAAACATCACTACTGGGTGGCGTGCCGGCCTTCATCATTGCTCGCTAGCAGCACTTGCCCCAACGTTCTGTTCAAGGCTATACTGGAGGGGGGGGGGGGTGCTCTTTGGGTCCGGGCCTGCGCTTTAATCGCTATCCCATCCGGCCGCTGTACAATCAATGCCCACTAATGCAGCGAGTCGGTACGCCCACCTTGCCGGCGTGTACCCACGGCGTGTGTGCATGGGTGTCGGGTGTGCACGGGAAAATGGGGGGGGGGGGGAATCGAAGGCGGGGGGGGGGCAGGGAGGAGGCGAGAGTGGTGTATGTTCTCTGCGTGTACGACGAAGGCAACGTTCATGGCATCGCCATTCGTTTGGCTTTGCTGGCCACCCCCACCCCGTCGCGTGGCGTGCCGGCCTTCATAAGGTGCTCGCTAAAAGCACTTGCACCAACAGCCCGTGTCGGCTATGCGGAGGGGAGGGATCTTTGTCTTTGACACGTGTACGAACCGGGGGCCTCGTCACTGATGATGTCAACACATCCTTCCGGGCCCATGCTGCATTTGCGTGGATTGTGTAATATTATTCGATACGTACAGTAGGCATGCGGATCGTAAATCATGCGAAGATGTAGCCGCACGCCCTCTTAACGCTAATTGCAGTGGGTACACGATACGACGCCGTTGTTGTTGTTGGTGCTGCTGTGGTTTGTTGTTGTTCGTGCAGGTTGTAATTCAAAATATAATTGGGTCTTTGTCCGTGTCTGCACACACAGTACCCATGTGTACATAATAAATTATGGAGCACGTACACAATGCAATGACAACGCGTGTGTTCCCTTGTGTGCATCTCGGCATGCAAAAAAATAAGTGTACGTGGGAGCGGTGGCCGAGCGGTTTGCGCACGCTGCTCTTCACACAAACACAGCGAACACCGAGTGATGTTCCGTGCCAGGGCTAAACAACAACAACAACACAAGAGTCGTGAATACGTGAGCCTCTGTTGAGGCCTCCTGCAGGTCTGGGCCGGCTCGGCCTTTTTCGAGTTGACCCGGTGCGATGTGTAAACATCAGCACCGTTGGAACAAAGACATCATCCACCCGGGAGTGGCAGTGGCCACACAATCACCATCACGACCATCACGACCACCACCATCACCACCATCACCACCATCACGACCATCACGACCACCACCATCACGACCATCACGACCACCACTATCACGACCATCACCATCACGATCATCACGACCACCACCATCACAACCATCACGACCACCACCATCACGACCATCACGAACAACCACCACCATCACGTCCATCACGACCACCACCACCACCTCCATCCAACTCGAGCGCAGATACAGCCATCGTAGGTTGCTCGACACAGCATTCACCCCCTCCCCCCGATAGGCCTATGCAGGTTGTTTCGCTGAGTTGTCACCGGCGCGTTGTTCGCCATGATGTCCGACGTTTCGCCCCACGTGCCGAGAGCTTCAATCCTGAACATTCTCCCAGGCCGTGGAGCGAAAACCATGATCTAGATTTAAACACGAGGCGATAATCCTCCGCTAGTCTGGACGCAATCATCTGGCTCACCAGCCGCGTTGTAAAATTATAGCTGCTGCCCTACATCAACGTTTGCCATACGAAGATGGGCTATACAGTAATGGGGGAGGCGTGGGGGGGGGTTGTTTTGGAGGTTTGGTAAGGAGGGGGAGGGGGACTGTCTGTGTGTGTGGGGGGCTGTGGTGTAGCGGTCAGCGAAGTCGACCAACCGAGTTCGATTCACGCCCACGGTCGACACAATTATATCTGACAATTATCTGAACCGGTCCTGGGCCTCCCCGTGGTCGACTCGGACTCAAATTAGTACCTTGGTGCAGCATGTAAACACGTCACTGGGGAGACAAAGGTGGTGTGTGCGGTGCTGGCCTTCATAGGTGCTCGCGAACAACACTCGCCCCAACAGTCTGTTAAAAAGCAATTGGGGGGGGGGGGTGCGGATGGGATCGTTGTCTTTGGACCTTCGTCTCGTGTCTTTGTTACGCGCTCGTGTCTCTGAGCCTGTGCCGTGTGTTTCTTCCCCCCGATGTCGCCCCGCAGACAACCCCACCGCCAACTGGATCCACGCGCGGCCCTCTCGCAAGAAGCGCTGCCCCTACACCAAGTTCCAGACCCTGGAGCTGGAGAAGGAGTTCCTCTTCAACATGTACCTGACGCGGGACCGGCGCTACGAAGTCGCCCGCGTGCTCAGCCTCACCGAGCGCCAGGTGAAGATCTGGTTCCAGAACCGGCGCATGAAGATGAAAAAGATGAACAAGGACAGAAACAAAGATCCGCAGTGAGGTCGTCGGAAGCGCCGTGTTTGTAGAGAAGCGCCCGGAAGCACGAGATGAGACGGATTGGTGTTGACGATGGTGGTGGTTGGTGTTGGTGGCGGTGGGTGGTTGTTGTTGTTGTTGGTGGTGGTGGTGAAGACGTCGACAGTCAACAACTTTCAAATGTGAACAACAGCAATTGATACAGCTCCCCGGTGAACGCAATGGAAGTGCGCGTTCGACTTTGCATCGTACATTAAAACAACAGAAAGGAAAGGATACACTGATAATGAAGGTCTCACGTTATATATATATAGTATATATATTAATAAATACACCATGCCGGAGTGCAGCTATTTTTCAGAACGGTTGTACCTTGCACAAATCGGTAATATCTTTATTAAGGTTTAGGCATTGCGGTTAAGCTGTTCGGAATTTACAACTATTTAATCAATGGCTCTTCCCCTTTTCATTTCTAAAGAAGAGGGGTTTCCGTGGCTCAAGACGCGTGCAGTCCCAACTACCTTGGAAGCAATTCCAATAATTACGTTTCATTATTTTGGAATAAGTACAATTGTTTTGGACGGCAGACTGAAAAAGGGGAGGTGACTGCTGAGTGTTTATTATTATTGTTATTATATCATGAATATTATAGAGCACTGTTGTATTAATTACATTTAACCGATGTACATTTATTTAAACCGTTTACAAAACAAACAAAAAAAATCGAAGTAATTTTATATAATAATTATATATTAAAATTATTAAAGAAAAAGGGGAGGAGTTATTCACACGATATTTGGGCTACCTACATAGAAGAAGCTGACACTTTGTAAATGTAGAAATGCGCGCAAATTAAAAAAAAAATTACAACAAAAAAAAGAGTTCCTTTTATTTAAGAGACTTTAAAAAAAGATAGTGTACACGTGGGTTCCCGAACGCGACTGTACAGTGTTACACCCGGCCCTCATCGCTGCCGCCCGCGTACTTGAAAATCGTGTTTTGTGACTGCTGTGTAATGTCAGGATTTATACTCGATACTTAATCTGGATCGCGACGTTATATATGTGTAGGTGTGTGCGTGTGTGTACGTAGCGTTATATACAGCAACTCTCCATCCTCCCCCTCCCCACCTTCCCTTTTGGAATGATTAAAGGAACCCCTACTCGACTGCCCATCGCTCGCCCCTGCGGGTTTGTTCATCGGTTGCTTTCGTTGCATGCAATCGGTCGGTCTGTAGGCACGAGAGAGAGAGAGAGACACACACACACAGAGCACGTTGGAGCCAATTTGAACGCACATCCGACAGGGTTGCAAGCAAATCTCGCTCTCTCTCTCCCTCCGTGTTCTACTCCCATGTTGTTCGCTCGTCGTGGTAGCTGTATGTATGTGTGTATGTATATATATTCGCAGTACTGTGACTATTGCCTTCCTGGTATGGTAAAGTTTTTATTGTAAAATATATTATATTAATATTTACCCGTGGCCCCTATCGCTCACCCCGCCCCACCCGCCAACCACACCTCCCCCCCCTTTATGTTGTGTAAATAAAGGTAATTAAAATAAAGGAAAATGACACTTCAGGTGTGAGCGTTGTAAGGGGTGTGTTGATGATCGCCTGTCTAATCAACTCACAGCGCGCGCGCCCGCACTGATTGTGTGCAGCTTGATATCCCGTGTGCCCTTCGGCAAAGTGTTGGGGCAAGTGCTGTTGGCGAGCACCTATGAAAAACAATCACGCGCAGACAAACAATCGTATCAACACAAATGCGAGCACATACACAATCGCATAGACAGACAAAGATAATCACAGACACACATAATCATACACACTGCACGAACATACATACAAACACACAATCGCGTGCACAAAGACACTGTCCATCATATGCAAACAGACACTATAATATACACAAAGACGTGGCAAGTGCAGACAGGCATGCACAAGCGCAGAAAAAAGATATCCCGTATAACCTTAGCAGACTGTTGGGGCAAGTGCACACAGATACATACATACAGACACACAATCACATTGACACACACCCACAATCAAATACACACAAACACGCAATCACACAGAATACACGCAATTACACACATAATTTATATATATATTTTAGGCTAAGTGTTGTTAGGCGCGTACGCCACGCGAGTCAGGGGCTTGTGGAGTACTACGCCCGGCCGCCTTTGTCTCTCCCAGGAACTCGTTAAAGTGTTGTGCCTACCGAGCAGAGGCCCGGGACCGGTTCAAATATCACGCGGCAAAGATGTCACTGCAACATAAATGGTAACACAGACAAACACACAACATACATGCATGCATACAAACACGCACGTACATAAACACAAACACTACACACACACGAGCAAACATGCACAGAAACACAGGCCAAAAAGGACATAACCCCCTACATAGCCTTAACATAACTCGTGCGGAAAGCGCTTTTAGCGAGAGCCCACAGACACAAAAACGACACGGATACACAGACACATGCAACGTCCACCCTGCGGCACAGACTGAAACACGCGTACGTAATATTAATATTAAAATCATGGTAAGTAGAAACTGCGTCTCAAGGTATCCTATAATAATGAACGTCAACACCATATTTTTCGACAGCGTTTGCGTTCGAACGCTTTGAAAGTCGCCATTAATGCATTTGAATTAAATACGGTGATTGCGGAACCCAAACCGGTCCGACAAATGGGCAGACGCGGCTAAACAAACCGTGTACTGTATAGTGCATTCCCAGATGTATGACTTTCAGCCAGGGTATATATGGCTGCAACTTGTTTCATTCGTGACAATGGCTGTGCGCGTCTTAATAGCTGCTCGCTAACGGCGCTTGCTCCGTCCCGCGTGTCTATGCCCCCCCCCCCCCGTGAATCGTATCGGTCACCACAACGATCGGGGCAACGTTTTTAATCCGAACGTCGCTCCTCCGTATAACGCGCGTCCGATGCAGCACGCGCCTAAACCATCGCGAAGTCGAATTCGATTCAAAGTTTAGTGAATTTTCGCGCGTTTATTATCAGTCAAGTGGCGAATGTGGACATTCGCGCACGCGATTTACAATGAAAAGAGAAGTAGAGATATGCACGACACGTGTGAAATATAACCTAATAAAAATGTAAAGACAGCTCGTATAATGTTATATAAAGGCATCCCGTGAGGCTTTCCTAGAAAAATGTAACACCACAATCACCATCAAGTATATATCATCGATTTTATAATATACAATACATTGTTGATAATATTATTATATAAACCCATTCTCACGAACACGATCATTATGGCACAATAAGCAGATATTATTCAAATTGCGCAATTGTTAACGTGCACACACACACACACAAAGTGCTTCAAATATACTGCTACCAACTACAACATTCAACGCTGGGTATGTTTATCCATAACAATAATCGTCAAACAATCATCATCAAACGAAAACTGCGAATTACTTAGACATCATTCTCAAAATATAGGGTGGCAAAGTTGAGTTCTATTGACGAGTCCATAAATCAACAAATATACAACTATACAAAGGCAAAGATCCCCCTTATAACCCTTCACGGACTTTTGAGACAAGTTCTGTTCGCGAGCAGCACATATGAAGACCAGCACGATAGGTCCACACGCTCACACGATGCTTCTCTGTCTATGGAGTGGTGGAGTGTACAGTATACATCTGCGGCTTCGCTCACTGAAAGCCAATTTGGCGCACGGTTCACAGGGAACAGATCCGAACATTGTTGTCGCCTTACAAGTTTGCGTGCGTCCGCGTGTGTTGCCTGGCCCCTCAAGTCTGTCCCGTCCTGGTGGCTGGCCACCCCCCCCCCCCCTCGTGTGCTGCGCGGCATTCAAAGGTGCTCACTAAAACAGCACTTGGCCCAACAGTCTGTTCAGGCTATACGGTGGATATTTGTCTCTGTCGTTTTTGTTCTTGTCTCTCTCCATTGACCTCCTGCCAGCGAGCTTTCGACACTTCACGCGACGAACCTCAAAGTGCACCTAGCCTGGCACAAGCGCTGGTGGTGACGTCACCGCCACTTAGTGGCGAACGGCTGCAGCGGTCGTTGTTGTTGTGGTGTTCTTTTAACCTTTTTGCGTTCAGTTGCGACCAACGTGAGCTTAACGCGTGGCGCACGAATTGGCTGTGCCGTGTGTAATATTGACAGCGTGCTCATTGCAGTTGCAGTTGTCATAACGAGTATTTAATATTGGTAAGCGAGCTGCCTTGGACGATGGAGTGAGTGGTGGCACCTCGGTCACTCACCTGCCGGGTCTCAGGTTACCTGTCTGTTGGAAACGAACAGAATCACGGGGCGCGTGGCGATTTGAGGACAACACACAATTGGATGTACGTAGGTCGACTCAGCCTCAGATGAGTACCTGGTGCGGTGTGTCGTAAATATCGCCACGAGGGAGACAAAGGCGGTCGGTCGTGGTGGTCCTGGTCAGCCAACCCCTCGTGTGCCGTGCCGGCATTCATAGGTGCTCGTTAACAGCACTTGTCCCAAAACTCTGTTAAGGCTATACGGGGGATCTGATATGTGTGTGTGTGTGTGGGTGCTAATATTAATGTGTTAAAAGGTGTTCCATAACAACCTGTGTTAGACAAAGTTATTACCCACAATGCTATTGCGTACGCTGTGTGTATGTATATATGTATGTGTGTATGCGTGTGTTTCTGTACAGTGTATGTGTTTTTGTATGTATGTAGGGGTGTGTGTCTGCGCGTCCGTATATTTGTGTGTGTGTATCCTATATGTTGAGAACACGTGTTTGTGTGTGTTTGTGTACGTGTGTGCGTGTCTTTGTTGCGTGTATGTATGAGTGTGTGTACCTATTTAAATTTTTGTGTGCGTCTGTATGACCGCTCCAAAAGTCTGTTTCAAGTTTTAGGATACGGTATATCATTGTCTTTGTGTATATATGTATACGTGTGTATTTGTGTGTGTACGCAATTATGTTGCGTGCATATGACTGTATTGCGTTGTGTATGGTCAAATAAGTAGTTTGAATGCTATGATATGACACCACACACTGCCAATGAATATACATTCGCGTTGATAGTGCGCGTATTATAGTATAGTGGGGAGCGGTGGTGTAGCGGTTAGCGCGATGCGCTACGAACCCGGCTACCCGAGTTCAATTACCGCTCACGGCCAACACCAGTGAATATTTTCTATTGGACCGGTCCTTCTCGAGGTCGACTCAGCCTCAAATGCGTACCTGGGCGTGGTGCTGGTCACCCGCCACCTCGTGTGCCCGTGCCGACCTTCCTAGGTGCTCGCGAACAGCGCTTGCCCCCAAAAAGTCTGGCAAGGCTATGATAGGGGACCTTTGCCTTCGTCATTATTTTTGTTAGGTTTGTAGGTGTTATTTGATTCAGCAAGAAAGTCCCAATGAGCTGCTATCGGCTCGATTTCGTGGGCGTCCTGCAACGGTACAAATGTTACACACAGCGGAGATCTTAGCTGCAATAATATAAAAAAAAATATTCCTGCTACATTTGCCAACGCAAGGTTGTCTCTGCGCAATGTGTGTAACTCTACAATACCACCCGTATAACGATACACCGCGCAGATCGCCCCTGATATAACGCGATCACGTTACAACAGATTTGCGTAAGGTATGGGGCAACTTCGAACACAGCGACATAGCGATCAGAGTAAACGTTGCTCTGAAGGAGGGGCATTGCCTTAAACGTCGGCTATCTCACCCGCCCGACTCATTAAAGGTGGTGTTATTCACGAACGTGTTGAGTATTTGTTACAAGTAAAAAAAAAATAGGTAGAAATTCTATTAATCCCAATTAATACTCTTAAATCTGAACGAATTATTTATCTATAATATATAACATATAACATTGTGGTGTTTATTTTTATTGTTTATTCATTATATTTACTATTTACAACACAGGATCTATGTGTGTTTAATACACGTGGATATACTGACACACACACATTATACAAGGCTGCGTTGACAGCCGTCCACAAACACAAAATGTATTTTGTAACTCACAACAATCCTCATTAACACCACCTCACGCGAAAGAAAAGTGCCGTGTTACTAACTAAAGGCGGTCGTTTAGAAAAGTTAAAATATCCACAACTGTAAAGTATGACACCAAATAAATGTCGTGTAGTGTACAATACGTTTATCCTCTCTAAGCAAACTGTCCAACTGACTCGCCATGATAAGTTCTGACACAATCTCCACGAACCTCCCACGTGTACCCAAAACTTGTTCAATCTGCCAGACTATAAAGTAAACTTAACACCCGCGTAACGTTGTTGTGCTATCTGGGAAGAAGATTGTGATAGGCCGAACGAGAGAGAGAGAGAGGGGGGGAGGTGGATTTAAGGCGGAGGCAGTTAAAAAATGAAGAAAAAAATATAATAAAAATATAAATGCAGCAATTGCATCGTAAGGAGCCCGTGGGGAATGGACGTGTTTTGATTTGGAGGTAAGTTTCCGCCTCTCCGCTGTCTTGTGGATAATAAGGCTAGGGTTACCGTGTG